TTGTCTGAAATACAAATACTTTAGGCATTGCAAACTAAAAATTCCATTTACAATTCAGCCATCAATATTAAGTACGGCTAGCCTGACTTATCTTAGGCCCTATTAACATTAGAAAACAGGAGGTTTAAATACATGCACTGTCATTAAGGCCCCTGGTTTCGTCTCAAATACAAATACTTTAGGTTAGGTACTGCACACTAAAAATGTATATTTACTATTCAGTAGGCCTATTTTTTGTAAATAGGTCATTAAGTACGGCTAGCCTCTTCCATACTTTTTTTCTGGTAGTATTTTGCATGCTGAACACGAATATGGCCTTCATTTTTGCTGCAAATCAATAGTTATTGATGTTTGAAAACAGTAAAGTTAACTATAAATGGGGGGTTTCAGGGGGGCATCCCCTGATCTAAAAAGAATCTGGGGGGTTTCAGGGGGGCATGTTCCCCTGAATTTCACAATGATTTGATGTTTTGGCAATTAGGATTGATATTTACTTGAAAACAATTGATTTGCAAGGGTTCTAGTGGTCATGCGTGAGTTTTACAGCAAAAATTGTGGCAGTTTATGCATCTAGATCTAGATCTAGATTCTAGATCTATGTGTGGGTCCAAAAGTAAAAATTTACCCAAATGACAACCAATTAGGTAGGCCTACTCATGGAAATCGGAAAGCTGAAAATTAGAATTCAAAGCATTCAATCAATAGAGTGGGGAAGATTGAAGAATACCGGACCACTCGTACATTATTGCTCGAGAAAGTGGGGTAGGTGGAGCGGGTGGTTGGGGAGGAGGAGGAGGGAGGGGTTCAGGGGGGTCTCCCCCCTGACAATAATTTAATGAATAAGGTGCTTTTTCGGTAGTTCCCACCCTCCCTATTTGAGCCTGACCTACATCTAGATCTAGACGTTTGATTTGCGGTGAGCTAAGATATCAAACCTAACAACTGCAAAACTAAAACATTAAATTATGGTAAAATTCAGGGGGGCGCCCTGAAACCCCCCTTCCTATTTTTATTAGGTCAGGTGGGCAAGCCCCCCTGAAACCCCCCTACTCTTGTGGCCCAACCCGTGAATAAAATTGCGGGGTGGGAACTACCGAAAAAGCGCCATGAATAAATCTACCGGTCCGAGATTCCTCATTGAGAGATATTAAAAATGGGAAAATTATGAATTCCTAAAGTCGAGACGTAGGCAAAGTCAATCCGCTGGTCCGGTATTCTTCAATCTTACCGAGTTAACATAAGATCTAATTAGATCCTAGATCTAGATCTTGATTAGATCTATTAATATACGCCTGAAGAAGCTGACATCAAATTCATCAATGCAATGCAACTGAGTGCCGAGTGTTGTCAACTTAGCTCGGGCACGAACAAGGGGAATTATCAACACAAATCTCATGTTCTAACCAAGCCCAGCTTTTAGCCAAATTGAAGCTTAGCAATGCAGCGACTGGAATAATTAATACCATCATTTAAACTGCAAAGAGGGCTGCTTTTAAACACATGGGAAAGACACGTAAAAGGGAACTTCGTTTCAAACGAAAGTCGAGTTGGCGACAGATAGTCCATTTTGGCCGAACATCATCGAGCCATATCAACTCAAAAAAAGCGTATTTTGCAAAAGGCGGTGCATAACATTAACACTGTTTCAACATTTGACAGAAATACATAATTCTAAAAATTGAAATTCATTTATAAAAGGATAGATGAAGAAGATTTAGAAAACACCATTTCACGGCCAGCTTACCATCTTGAGCGTAAACCGGAAAAGGAAGTTTGACTTTTAGAAGAAAACAAACGGAAGCTCAAGACTAGTTTAAAAAGCTGGATCAAATAACAAAAAATTATGGATCAATTTTCATTTGAGTATAATAAATTATAATAATAATAATTTTTGGTATGGATTCGTTTTTGTAATTAGAAACCAGGCCGAAAGAAGGCTACTATGTATACCTATTTCAGCATTTTCAATATTGACGGGACAGCGCACTACTTTTTCAATTTTAAGAGGCCTTGTGCTCCATCCTTTTATCCACTCGTTCAAAGCCAAATGTGGTTTCCACGGTTGTGAAAGGTCAGAGTATTTAAAACTAACAATAATTTCACACGTTCATTCAGTGTGTAGTTGGGAGAGGGCAGTCGCTGGATTATTTCATCAAATCAAGTTGACCTGCTACAAAAATAATAGCATTACGAGAAGATGGTGTCGGAAAAAAATTATCACAGAATGTATAACAATATTATATTATGGATTTACACATCAATTTTAAAGGCACATAGTGTTAAATACGCGTGTACACACATATTCACGCACGCACCACACACACATACACGCATACGTACGTACATACACACATACCCATATACAAACTCACAACGATCTACAGCGTGAATGGATTCTGTCTAATCGAAATATGATGAAAATAGAAATGCTTTTAGTTTCTTCATTAA